CAGCTACTGGGTCCAGAGTAAAGAAAACAGGCTTTTTCATCTTTAATGGCATAAAAAATAAGGAAAAATCCATCTTTTGTACAAAGTATAACTGCTGGTCTTTAGGGAAAAATAAACACTTATAAACCCATAAAGCTAGGAGGCACACCATGGGATTTCATTTTTGTAAATTAGAGCAATAATAAGGCTTCTCTTTTTCCTGTTGATGTGAGAGGCAGAGTCAACTTTTTGCACGCTCATTGTTTCTATTAGGGCCCTGACAACTGTAATAATGATAATAATGATAACAATAATAATAATAATAATAATAATAAACAAAATAAGTAACAATTGGCAACCAATTTTTAACCATCTTTGATGCCGTGTACGGTTTCAGAGATGTAAATTCATTGAAAAATTAGGTTGCTTCATAAGTCAAGACAGTTGAGAAATCGCAAAAAAAAAAGACAAAACATTTTGTCAAATGCAGGGGTGTTTTTTGGAAGGACAGGAAGCCAGGCCTGAAGAGCAGCATTTGGGCATGGCCGCTGGCATCTTTGGTTCAGTCAAACATACGAAGGTAACAGGAGCTTGAGCATTCCACGACACATGAGAATGACCACGCAAGGAATGCTGAGGCTGACCCCGGTATGGAACCAAAACACGATCTGCTACAACAAACTACGAAACGTCGTTCCATAATGTCCCATGAGGTATCAATGCTTTTTAAAACAGTTAAATCAGTACAGAACCAGGACTATATTCTGCGTGTTCTACGTAAAACATTAACTCTGCGTCCCATCAAGTGAGATGCTCACCTTTAAACAAGGTTTTCAGCAAACCTCGCCCTTTCAGCAGCTAGAAGGAAAAAGAAAGGATGTGCTCGGAAAAAAGCAGCACCCGATCTTCCAGGAGAGGCAACGAACACAATCTACTACCGCCACTGTCTACTGAACGACACAGACATCGCACTCTGACAAACTAGGCCATGAGGTTGGGCCACAGTGAACGGGGGGAGAGGAGGTTAACGTGTTGACTTCTTGTCCTTTCAAACCTGCAGGGGTGTTGACTTGCACTGGTTGGAAAAAAAAAATAAACACCTGTTGAACAGATCTGCATATATCAAGGATAGTTAAGGTAACACATGTAGGATTTTCTCTTAATATACCACTGTCAAATCGCCATGACGACCATAAACAGTACATTCAAGTGCCCCTATGACACATTGCTGCTAGGACTTTCCCTCTTCACTCTGTTAAAGAGAATCTGTTTTTCCCGTCACAGGGAAGTTGATCCCACACTGCACTTAATAAAAGACGATTCTCGGGGCCTTTTCTTAACGGTGACCGTCGTGACTCAATTCACTGCGATGCACCAAAGAGAAAATCCTACATGAAGCATCTTTTTAAGTATGATATGATCAATGAGTCCGCATGACCAGTCACAAGCTGTGACCACCCCAATATGAGGTCCGATAGCACCATATTTGTCTTTTAAATCTCTTAATGGTTAATAAGAGTGTCTAAGCCATAGATCAAGCATATCATGGATAAAACCATAGGTCTCATACTCAGACATACATGCAACTGAACAAATTGCATGTGTATACAAAGACATATATGTAAAAGAGCATGGTCAATTTGGTTTTGCAGCAGAAAATTCAGGTTGTGCTGTATTTAATGGACCAGGAGAGGAATGCCTGACTGTTCGTCTCTGAACTGTCTTTGTGTAGTGTTTTAAAAAAAAAACCATTTGTCTATAGAGGTGTGAAAAGTTGAGGGTAACAACATCACGGTGTCAGACAGAGAGAGAATGTGTTCCCAAAGTCTCTGTGGAGCTTTAAGTGTAATCAAGGACCAGCAGCTGGATGTGGAGTGTCCACGAGCCCCCATATGTATGGATGATGAAGTATTGACAGCATTCACACAACATCATCTCAGGCCCTTCCCTACAATGTGATGTGAAGATGGAGCTGGGACAAAGCAGAACCACAGGTCAGAGGAACAGTCATCGAGCGTCATCTCCTGGCCCATCACTTATTAATTCATTAATTTAAGGCAACACAACTGAATACTGGGTCATTTCGGGTTACTGTGGATGGAGTGCCAAAAGCCCTTGACATTTTTGCATAAAGAAAAAGAACCTGTCAGTTAGTAAAGGCTGTTACGCAGAAAGATGTTGGTCAAGTGACAAGAACCTCTCAAAAATACCAGTTCGCAAAACTAAAAACCAAAACAAGCAGATCGCACGATGACCCATAACAACTGTAACATTCTGGAAAAGTGTGTGTGTGTGTGTGGATGCCGACTCAAGACGATTGATATTTGGATGGGAAATGGCTTCTTAAGTCCTTTATACAAAGCCCTGGCTTTTTTTCATAAACTTTTTTATTCATAGACCTCAACTGTAAGCCGCCAGGCCTCGTGCAGAAATTCAGCTCTGACTAATTCAACCGTGTTTGCTGGAACCGGCTGCCCAACAGCTGACTAAACACACCACAAATGAAAATATGTCCTGTGCCGTGGACACACAGATCGACGGGATCTTGCTGAACGGCGGACTAATCGGAGAGCAGTGGTAGTGCGGATTCAACAACTAAAACTGGCTGCGTCGTGGCAGCTCCACAATGACATGCACTTCTAAATGACACAAACATGTTAATTAGCTCACTTCCTTTTGTGCGTCAAGTGTCTTCATTCGAAAATGACAATTTTTAATACAGCATACTTCACGGACGAGTGACAATGGTTAGCTATAATCTGAAAAGGCAAGACAGTGTTTCCATGACGACACGGGCAATATACACGACACCTGACAAATGACTGAAACCGCTGATTCGACGTGTGTCTTTCGTGATGCGGCCTTGCCTGAGGCTGGTTGGTATACGTTTGCATTCAGAGGTTGAACAGTTACCAGTTTCAGTGGCACAGAATGCAAATACTTCAAGCCAAACGACAGACTACTCTTACAAAGTGTGGAATAAAAAGAGAATATGGCTTTAAGTAGATATAGCATGTCCCTGTTAAAGTGACTCCCTGCCAGTAAACTCAGACACCAACAAACGGTAAATTTTAACTAAAAAAATCATTCATGCATTTTCTTTTTTTCTTTTCTTTTAGGGACATGTAATTACACCTGGTCGCCCCCCTCCACTGCCGGGAGAGCAGACCTCACTTGTAGCCCATTTTATATAATAAATCAACCAGCGTGGACATAATTATCCTCAGACAAATGGCTTCCTCCGCAATTACTCTAATTTGAAAAAGAGGGAACGTCGCTGCAAGTTTACAGGTTCCACCACAAAAACACGCCAAACACTCAGGGGGGAAGAAAATCTGTAGAGGATTTTTAGGTAAAAATCAAATTTCTAATTTTCGTTTGTTCTCGTGGCAGATCAACGTTCTAATCCACACACTGAGACACACACCGCTCGCACAAGAAACGCAACCAGCAAAGGCCAGTCAAAGGGCATTACTATCCTACTATTTATACTTTGGAGTACACAGTTCCCAATAAATAGTTCCAACTACAACACTATAAGAGTTTACAAGGCTCAACAACTTCCACAGTCAATCTTTTTTTTGAGAGGAATCAGGACAGAGATGACACAGCCTTTGAGAACTGCAGTTGCCTTGCTACATGGTTATACATGTTGGGATATTAAGATAAAGAAAATAGGAGAAAGAAAGAAAAAAATTTTTTTAGTTAATGTAAAACTGTAGCAAAGCCTAAACAATATAAGTGTTAGACTAATCTACTAAGAGACTTCCTTCCATCCACAGAATCAAACACCTGATTAGGTTTGCTGAAAAGATTAATAAAATCTATTAGTTGTTAATTTTCAAACTTATGAGTAAAGGGGGTTATAGTTATAAGGATACATATGCTGCAAAAACTTAATCACAGGCAAAGAAAAAATAAGTGAATTTCTTGCCATAATCAAATGATGCTTCGTTGCCACCCGTTGCCATGTCAACGTCTGGGAGACGGCCAGCATGGCAACGGAAACTATCATCATAAAATGGTACAGTAGTAGAAATAGCTAGACCAGGAGGGGGCAGGCTCTCCTGGGAAAAGGTCCGCGGAGAGGTCCAATGATTGGTCATGCGGCTCGCTGTCAGGAATAATGGTTGTAGGGTGGTAGAGGGTGCCCAATGCCATTCTGGTAGTGATGGTGCTGACGGTGGGCGATGTACTCTGCATAGCCCATTGTCAACTTCTCGCTACGGTACCTTGGGATGAGAAGAGATTGGTCGGTAAAGGCAGGGCTGGAAAACGCACAACGAGCCAAGACACAGAGCTGCACCTTGTGTGAATCAGTTTACAAGAAGTTAGACCATACTACACTTCGGAAACCTTCGGAGAACAACAAGCATTTTCAAGTGTTCCTTTCTTCTTTTTGAAAAAGTGCTCCACCGGTTTAGCATTGCAAATGATCATTTTCACTGTGGACAGCTTGAAATAAAAGGAACCAAATTGCTGCAGCAAAACCAGAGAGATTAGTTTTTGTTTTGTGTGCAGAGAAATGACTGTTAACATGTGCAGATGTTCCCACAAGAGGCTAATTTGTGGTCGGACAACAGCCGTTGGGCTTGGAGATTGCCCACAATGCAACTTAATAGTTGAGAGTTCGGTCAAAGGTTCTGAATTTAACAGATCTCCCATCACTCCCTCTGGAGCCACAAAGGCTTTTACACAATTTTTCCCCACCATATGCAGGAGATACTGTTTAAAACAACACGTGTAATCTCACCTGGTTAACTTAATGGTCTTCCTGAAGTCATTTGTGATGGGAGCTTTATAACCTCCCTTTCGTAGTAAGGAATCTATGGTTTGAATGTGGTCCCAACCTTAAAAAAAAGGAAAAGTTTTACACAATTGTGAAAATCCAGATTCAGTTAGATTTGTAAATTTCTTCTAAAAGAATAGAGATCAGGCTGGATTTTAAGGAGCACAAAAAGATCTCACCTTGCTCCTTTGCAACCTCTGGTAGGTAAGTGGCGGTGCGCTTTGATCCTTTTTCATTGAAAAATTCTATCCTAATACCATGAACACCCACCTAAACATCAAGAGAGAAACAACAATGAAAGAAAATGTTTAATCACATAAATCGCTCCATCGAGTCAAAGCTAACAATTAACAAGCACTTCAGGCAAAATGGAGAACAGCTATATTTTACAACTACATTCTATGTTACTGAAAATTACCCCAGATTGGTTAGTGTCAATTATATCCACCATTTGCATTAATGAATGATAAAGATGTATCAATAAATAAGCACCAGCATGGCACCCATCAAGCGGAATGAATCGTGGTGCACAAAAAGCTACTTGCTATAATAGATTATCAATTTATTTGAGCACTATTATTTAGATAAAAAGCAAAAACACAAATATTAAGGGTGCTCCGATCGGCTCTCTGATTAGTTTGGTCGCGATCTGTAGAAACGCCGATCTGATGAGGCAAAACAAACCGCTGTCACTCATGAGTTGCAACTCTCAACAGAGATGAGAAGGCATTTAGATGGCTCACTCTTAGATGGCTCACTTTTTTTCCAGTAAATACTTTTCTATTCTAACATAGTTAGTCATTTAATGACCACCTTTCTCCCTCCGGAGTTGATGTTGGAAAAAGCTAACGAGTGAGACATCTTACTTCTCCTCTCAGCTGTGTTGAGACTTCCATATGCGCAGTATTGATTAAACATGGCAATGGCTGCATCATGGGCTTTGGCAGTGTGAGCCTTCTTGTAAATTGGGTAAATGTTACACATGAAGTTATTTCTTATTTGTGTGTGTAAAAAAAAAAAAACGTTTGTGTGCGTTTCTCCCAGTGTGTTGGCTTAGTAGTGTTGCGGTCGGTTAAAACAATAGGTATTGTTTTTTTTGCTTTTTTAAACACATTTCATCTTTGCAAACAGGGTGATGTACATTACATATCATTTAGCTGACGCTTTTCTCCAAAGCGACTGACAATAAGTGCATTCAACCATGAGGGTACAAACAGAAAGAATCATTTAAGTACATTAGCTTCAAAAAAGCCAAACTACAAAGTGCAACCTTTTTTTTTTTTTCTTTTTTTTTTATTACCAGAGTTGACGATGGTTATTAGACCATCATCTTCTTAACCAAGTTGTAGTCGGAAGAGATGTGTTTTTAGCCTGCGGCGGACGATGTGTAGACTTTCTGCTGTCCTGATGTCAATGGGGAGCTCGTTCCACCATTTGGGAGCCAGGACAGCAAACAGTCGTGATTTTGTTGAGTGGCTAGTTGTCCCTCTCAGTGAGGGAGCAGCAAGCCGATTGGCCGATGCAGAGCGGAATGGACGGCCTGGGGTGTAAGGTACGTGTACGTGTTTATTTGAATATAGAGCTGGGATTCTATCACGAGTGGTCTCTCTGACTGGGTTGTATAATCTCCTCTATGCTGTCTGCTGTGTGGGACTCCCGGGTGAGAGCCTGTCACAGCCGGGCAGGACAGACGCTGCGCGGTGTGAACAGGACACACATTTGTCCTTTCTCTGGTATGAATCCCTGTCTTCATCATTTATCTGTGATGTGAAATGATTTCCACATAGTCAGAGAAAGTTAAAGTGTGTGTCCTGCTCATATGGTTGTTATAAAATCCTGCACAGCGTTACTCCTGCAGCTGCTGATAGCGCAGGTGAAACGTGACACAGACACAGGCTGATACAGGAGTTTATGTGGTGCTGAATTAGGGAAAAAAGGAACAACTCGACAATACAAAAAGCAAAAAGAGCGAGATAGAGAAAGCCGATTATATCAGCCCGCAAAATCCTGATCGGAACACCCTTAACAATTGGTTGTTTACTTGTTGCTGCTGCTGCAAATAATTTTGGTGCAGACACAAATTAATGTAAAAAAATGTGTTAGAGCTGCCTGGGAGAGACAAAAGCTGTAAAGCACCACCATCCTCAAAGCAAATATTATTCTGTGTCTGTGCCTGTTTTAGCAAAGCATGTGTCGAACCTCCCAGTCAAGGTAATCACCGACGTCTTCAAAGTTGGTGAGAAGAGACACTGAGCAGAAGAGGCGAGGCAGCTCATCCCTTGTCATAGGGGGGAAGCGGCTGTCTTTAAGGGCACTGCAGATAAGACAAAAGGCACACAGGAAAACTCCATTACAGGTGCAAATTCAGAAAGCAGCTGACACAATTATGGTGAAAAAACTGTTGGATTAATATGTGCAGGGTTCAAAAACTAGATACACTACAATGACCTTTTTTTTTTTTTTTTTTTTAAAGGAGGGCAAGTTTCCACTTAATTTTACAACATGAGTGAAGAATCGGGGGAGACATTTTCTCTAATGTAGATGAACTTTAGTTGCAGCACAGTCACTAACAATGTTTGTCCACAGTGCTGTTTGTAGAGTCTGTAAGTGCCTGTGTGTAGTTAAGAGCTAGGTCTCAGTATGTTTAAGTGTATTTGACAGGTCAGAGGCATCTGCCCTCAGGTCAAAAGTACTAATGAGACATTCCAAAGCGGGTGAGACTCTTTTTACATTCACCAAGGAGGCTATATTTTCATATGCGTCCATTTTTCTGACAGTTAGCAAGATTACATAGAAACTACAAGGTGGTTACCAAGAAACTTGGTGGAAGGACGTTGCATAGGTCAAGAAACAACCCCTTACATTTTGGTGAGGATCCAGGATTTTTTTTCACTTTAACATTGCGAGATGTTTTTCAACATTTTTCTTTCAGAGAATAATTCATGGATCTTGATGAAAAAAACTTGACATGTTTATGGGACTGATATTTCTGGGTATGAGCAATTTAATGCAGATCAAAGTAAAAACCTATGTACTTTTTTAGGGGAGTGAGGTGGGTTATATGATATTTAAAGGTTCAGTGTGTAGAATTTAGTGACATCTATTGGTGAAGTTTCACGTTGCAGCGGAATACACCACACCCTACCCTTCCAAACATGAAAGAGAACCTGTGGTATTTTTCAGTTGTCATAAAAACTGAAAATGTGTTTAGTTTGTCCAGTTTGGGCTACTGTAAAAAACATGGCGACCTCTGTAGAGAGGACCTGCTCCTGATGTAAATTCAAAGGGCTCATTCTATGATGATTTCACATTATTTTATGTTTAATTTTTGCCAATAGATCCCTTTCAGCTAAATCTTCACACTGACCTTTAACAGACAATAACATGAATGACCCCTGTGTTTCTTGTTTACTTTAATTTACAACAGTGGCTTTATTTCTCAACAAGCATTCTTCATAACAGCTTTGACAAAGAAATAATTCTTCCACCTTGTTGCTTACCTGGTAAGGGTGTACTCCCTGAGTCCTGAGTGCAGATTCATGGCAGAAAAAGTACCTATACAACCCCGCAACCGCTTGTCTCTGCCTATTTTCCATGTGACAAACAGCGGGCTGAAAAACAGAACAGAACAAGACACCATGTCCAAGACGCAAAAGTGTGGAAACATTTTTGAATGTTGAAAAGAATCATATATTGAGACACAACTGTCAGCATGTGGGCCTCCATTAGAGAAGACTTGTTAATACTAAATTGTTACAGGGGTTTGTTTCACAACTGAAATTGGTAAAAGAGCACCTCCATGATTGAATTTAATAAAGGGCATGTTTACAAGAGGCAAGGGGTTCCTGTTCCTTAACTTAAAAAACACTGCTTCAAAATAATTATCACTAAATAGTCACAGTCTGTAGTTCAGTGGCTAAGTTTGCAGAGTGCTGTGTCTGTGTCAAATGTTGTGGTTGTTTTGGGCCTTTCGATAATGCGGTCTGACAATGCCCCCAAGTGAAGCATTTGTCAAGGACACCACCAACCATAAGTATGGGTTTCTCAAACCTGTGGGAGTTTTCACATTGGTGAGCATTAGCCTTCTACATTCCTCTTCACTATGAGCTGGTTGGGTTTAGAACTTGATGTCATATGGTGAAGGCTTGGCCAAACTCACTTAGTCTTACAGGCTTGGGGAAAATGGACATTTTCAGTATTGCATGTTTTGTAATTGTGTGTGTGTGTGTGTGTGTGTGTGTGTGTGTGTGTGTGTGTGTGTGTGTGTGTGTGTGTGTGTGTCATCACTTTGGAAACACTTACACTTTGTAAATATGTGATAAACACGTGATAAACAGCTAAGCATTTTACAAATCAAGAGTAGATCAAACCTCCCCACTGTTCTTACACAGTGCGTAAGCAACACATTGATATACATTGATCTTTTTATATATTGCTATCTATGGAAAATAATAATTACTAATTATTATAAACTAAGACACATAAGAGATAACTTTAGATGTTGAGTCGAAGATAAAAACATACTTTTGGTATACTCCTGAATTTACTTGGTGTGCCTGGCTATTTTGTTTATTTATCTGCATTAGTACCATTATATATTTCTGTACTTCCTTTGTTTTCTGTTGTGTAGAATGTTGTACTTTCTCCATTTGTTTTCTTGGGCAACATTTTGTATTGTATTGAAGTGTGTGTGCAGAGGAAGAAAGACTTTGTTTACAGTATACATAGTACATGTAATGGATTGTTCCCCATAATAGATCATAATTACCACCAAACATGTTGAATGTGCAGGACATAAAAACATCCTTGTGCCATTTACAACCCACGATATGCATTTGAAATGCAGGCATCATTGGATAACAGTGTCTGCATTGTGGAGTATTCTCCTTTGCAATGCACTGTGACACTTCCACTGATCATATCAACATTGAATGACACATTTAAAGACACCATCGACCCATATACTTGAATTATTTCAGACACAGTCCTTCAACAAGTCACTGCAAACTTTCTTGGCCCATGTTTAGTCAATGAACTGGATCAGTGAGCTCTGGCTTCGAGGGTAAATAACCCACAGCCTCCTCAACATGGATGTAAAACGCCTACAGAGTCACATGATGTCACATTACACAGTCTGTACATTAGGGGTGAACGGGTTCAGGTGGAGGGGGCAGGAGTACGGTTACAGAACATATGAATTGATCCATTTAGTTAATACATGTCCATGTACACACTCAACCATACTTTCAGTGGATGTTTCAATTGCTTAAACACATCATTTGTTTGTCATGGTAGTTGAATACAGCCATTTATGCACAAAACCGCTTTGCAGGAGCCAGCTTTTCTTTATGGGTTGATGCTAAACTCGGCTTATTTCCGCTGTATTCCATCCACACTAGCCCCTGCTACACAAAACCAGCTGTGAGGTGAACTTCGTCGCTGTCGTGATGTCAAACTTCCAACACATTTACCATTTCATCAATTACTACAGGCTGATTAGATCTGCCCTGCCACGCTAATGTAGCTCATAGCTAGCAAAGCTAAGCCTATTATGTGGCAATCCGGAGTTCATTGAGGGTAGCTTGAAAGATTAAGGACACAAATGTTAACTTTTGATATTTTCTGTTTGACATCTGTAAAATCTACGATAACAAGTGAAGCTTCTGCTGATAAAATGATGACATTATCTCTAATAGCCCGTTCCACCTTCTCCCTGTAAGTGTTGGTGGTTGGCTGGCTTCGGCTAGGAGCTAGCAGCCTTAGCTAACGTTAGCTAGCGCTGTTCGAGTTGGACACAGCATCGTAAAATTATTTTTTATTAAGTGCCGACGGGACGTTCACACGCGACAGTGTACCTCATCCATTGATAGATACTCTGACTCGGTAGCATCACACCAGATCATTCATTTTAGAGTCCATGCTAAGCTAGTGTGGCTCCGGGCCAGTGCAGACAGTCTCCTCGACAAGGCCCAAATTCCAACTTGAACAAATTAACCGTTGATCGCGACTTTTTCGCTTCGAATTCACAGAAAATCAAACATTGTTTCGACGTGACAGTCTGTGGCCGTAAACCCGGAGCACAGTGTGTGTGGAAAGCTGTGAGCGGCGCCGCGGTTCACAATAGTAGAGTGAATATATCAATGAGCTTTGACATGCAGCAAAACAACAAAAGACAGAAAATACTCACTAGGGATCATTTGTAAACCTGGGTGTTCTCGGAGGTTGGTATCCGTACAGATGGCAATAAAGCACGTCAAAACAGAAGCAGCACATCTCCGCCGAGACCACCATTTTTCTGCCTCCACTTCCCGAACCGGGTCCCGGGCTGAGATTCGGGGAAAGGCCGGATGAAGAGTAACCGGCCGGGGCTGGGGACAGAGCGTTCGTGCCGCTGCTACCACTACTACTACTGCTGCCACTAACGATACCCCCGGGTCCCCCCAGGCCGTTGGCTCTGCTCACGTTCGCCGCCGCTGCAACGGTCGCGGAGGAACCAATCCCCAGCTCCGAGCCACAATGTCCGGTTCCTGGCACCCCGCTTCCCGCCCCCACCCCGCCGGGACCCCCCGACCCGGGCGATCCCGACAGTTTCTGCTTCTTCACCCCGCAGCACCCGGCCGCCATCTTGGAACAATCTGCACCGACACACCGCTTCCGACCCATAACCGTCACCGCGGGAAGGGTGGGGGGGAACGCCGACCAGACGTAGAAATCCCACTGCGCCGATACGTACGACGGACAATACTCCACTTTCACGCTTTTATTTTTTGTCGGACGACGAAATAAGCGATGTGACGAGAAGACTGCAATGTCACCCTAGCGTTGCCTTTAAAATGCGCGACTTCGCTACGCAAAATCCATACTCTGCGCTGGATGAGCAGTTTTCTATTCCTTGAGTAGTCAGCCAGTCCAGCGTTTGGACCACGGTGTTCCGGTGGATCACCAAACTAGTCCCGGCCAAATAGTCAGCCTCTTCTCCCTTAACACGACACCATCCGAGGCGATCTCAGCCGGTTCCCCTGGTACACACACAAGTTTAGGGAGTGCACAGTCCGAACAGGCCGCAGATGACACTGGGCAGGCGGTCCAGATGTGAAGCCGACAGCCGGTGCGCCGAAGCCCCGCAGCAGCGCACCTCTCCAAGTGGGAGCCGGGAGCTCGAGTACGCAGGACCCATAAGCTTCAGCACGAATTGCGCACAGTGTCCGCGTCGCCTCTCGTTGCACCAGCTCTTGCCTCACGAACTTCTACTGACACCACAGGCCCAGTATGTAGGAATCCCAGACACCGGGATCACGCAGAGTAAAATGGCATCTGACAATGCGGGGTTGGCATGGCACGATGAACCGCGTCAGCGCCGAGCAAGTCATTTCAGCAACGTTAGGCCACAGTTTGCACCTGCATGACGGCGTCTCTGTTCTTGGAGCCTTTAAAAAAAAAAATCTCAATAATACCCCCGCGTCAGATGTAGAGCTGAAAGTTTTCAGCACGGGTTTGTTTTGAGGTTGTCATCCGTGTGTGAGGAGACATACAGAGGAGCAGGTCCGGGGGAAATCCTCCGGGTTCGGCCGCCCCTCGCTCCGCACCCGTCTCTCAGCTGCTACCATTCAGTGCTGTTCGGGTAAGAAGCCCTGTGATCGCTCTGTGGGCATAGGCATCGGTGTCGTCGGCACGTCGGAACCGGATTCACACACTGCGTTGCGTCCACTTGCTACACATTGTGCGTAGCTGCCGTGGAGGCACGCGCGCCGCTGACGCTCATACGCGCGTATGCGTGCACGAGAAAGTATGGGTATACCCCGAAGTTATGAAAGGCTTAGGATCAGAATGGCATCCATCTGGGCCTTTTCTTTACATTTGATTCACATAAGCGGGGATGCTGTGAGGTGATGCATCCTGCAAGCAGGCACCTCTATAAAGGTTTCACAGTCGAAGGTACTACATCTTTTAAAAGTTCATGTTAGTAATTAGTTAGTTATTTTAGTTTTGTGTACTCAGGGCATCCTGACATATGTCCCAAATGTCCCCTGACCAATTCTGGCTCTCTAAATTGTTATCTCATGCACTCCACCCCTCCTCATCACCCCTGCCTCATGATAAACATATGTTAACACTTACATTCATCAGTATAGAGAGCAGTGAACATTGTCTCAATGTCAGTGATGAAGACATATTGTATAGGATGAGCTGAAGATGACACTGTAACACTGTCTGATAGAGGGAAATAACACCTGCGGGTGATTTTGATCCTTTGATGCTAGAGACTGAAATTATGAAACCATTTAAATGTTTGTTTCACTTCCCTTCTTTTCAAAAGTACTTAGGCAATATGAAATGTACACACTCAGTCTGCATGCTCTGCACTTAAATTGATCTTAATTCGAAGCAAAGCAGGAGTAAGGAAACTGGTCACACTAAAATCAGTGATACAGGGCATTCTTCTCCACAGTTTTGGTCATTTTTAATGCATTTGATTGTACCACTTGTTTGTAACACTACAAATGTTCATGCCAGTCCCTGGTACTGTTTTTTAACACAACATTGCCTATCTGAATGAACAGCCCCTCACTGACATCAGAGAAAAGTATGCTGAGAGTTGACTGTCGTATTATCTGTGCTGTTAGCTTTATGTGTCCTGCTGATCCTCATAACAACCAGAGCCAATGAAACAGAAGACAATGTCTGCAATATTGCCATGCCAAATAAAGTGCCTGTATTTAGATTATACAAATGTGCCCTCAGTGTCATCTTGCTTTGTCTTCAGTTGCTTTCTTCAGAAATGTTTGAATTTTACATTAAGTTGTTTTGGAATGTAGTACTCATTGTATTGTTGACTTTAGATGTTTGTATGGTGACAGGTCATTCTCCTGCATAAATTATTTCCCTCTACCAATTAGATCACCCTCAACATCTGTTTTGCTTTAATGGAAAATAATAGAAAGTATATCTGCTACTGTGACTAAAAGTCCCATGTTGTTATTTAATTAAGACAAACTAAACACATTTTGAGTTTTCATGACAACTGAAGTTCACCAGAGGTTCTCTTTCATGTTTGGAAGGGGAGGGTGAGGTGTGGGGTATTCAGCTGCAACATGAAACTTCACCTCTAGTTGTCACTAAATTCTACACACTGAACCTTTAAATGGGAAAAATATGTCAATGTCAACTTTATAGCACATTTAAAACAACTTGGTTGACCATGGTGCTTTACAAAGTAAAAGGTACAACAAGAAAACAGTAATACCCAATATATCCAAATAGATAGATAGAAAGATAAAAACATTCTCAAAAAAAGAAGTCCAAAGAGAAGAGATGTGTTTTTAACAATAATGTGAAGAGTGAGAAAGAGGGGGCAGAATATGAAGTGGTAAGCTTCTCCACAAGTTTGGCGCATACAATATACATTAACGCATACTATTAATTTTTGTCTGCAGAATAATAAGTAAAATGTCCTTAGTCATAGTTGTGTGACATGATGTCACATAGCTTTATTGTTATATTGTATCCCTGTAAAAGACATGTATATCAGCTCTGATGTGTTAGTTGAGGATGTCAGGTGATTAAGTCTCACTTCAATTATTCTACCTAATACTTTATCTTACATAATTTTTCTTATATTTATATTTTATTGTATTGCTTTATATCTCTATATTCATTTCTAAATCATTAAAACAGGTACAATTTGATATGAGGATGACACTTTCACAATTATCATCTAGCTTGCACAGTGACAATATTGAATTTTGAATCTTAAAGAATTTGTCTTAATCATATTTTTTTTCTCCATAGAATAACTTTATTTTGATTTTATAGTACATATTCAGGAGTGAGCGTGAAGCTCAGAAAGGTAATTATTTTGAATAGAAAAACATTTTTAGTTTGCAGCCTCTGTGCATCACAAACTGTGATGTAGAAGTGGCTCAGAGCAGCTGAGCAGAGTGTTTTCTCTTCAAAACACCATTCATATGACCACTGGATGTTAGGCATAGGTGATGTCACTGCAATGCAATCCATCCAGATTATCTTTTAAAACTACAGCAGGGATGCTGGCAGGGTGAGTTACTGCCTGTTCCAGCTACAGCATAAACTGCTGTTCAAGGTCAGCAGGGCTTTAAGTGAAGTGAATAGGCTCAGCTGCAGAGCAATGAATTCTGATGTGCACCATCATCACCCAGTGAATATGTATATGGAGAGAATGGACTGGTTTGTTCCATTCGTTCACTGTCTGTTTCTATTCCTGGGAGCAGGAACAATCTAGCATGTTGTTATTAAGCCTTGTAATGGAATTTCCCCACAGCCGCAGGACCCGCTCACTCCTGAGATATCATGTGCAAAAGTCGACAGTTGACAGAGAGTTAGCCGTCTTAATAAAACTCAAGCCCACGGAAAGTTCTCTAAGACCTTGCAGGGTCTTCAAAAAGACAATACAGAATAATATTTGGATTTGCGTTGCTCAGTGACTCAGTAATAACTTCTCTCAGGCTGAGATTTCTACATATCAAAGTAATCACTTACAGTTGGCCAATCTCCTTTTGTGGGACAAAATCACTCCGCCCACTTCAGAGAATCAAATCACTCATTTATGGTTATTATTTTTATGGGTTCAAATGCCCAGTAAGATAATAAATAATCAATATGATTGGATGGTTAACATGATACAGGCAAATTAAATACCTCTAATGGATGTGTACTCTGTGAAAAAGGTCAGCAGTATCTGTCACAGGGGTGGAGGCTGAGTCACACATCTGTGTAATAGTGGAGAAACTCATAGAGCCTTCGGGCAGTTAAAGGTCACGGCTCACACAGGACCATATTTATAACTGAGCTGTTGCTGCAAATTTCTCCAGCACAGTCAATATTATCCCCAGATGCATTTGCAAAACAAGATTTGGTTACTGGAAAATATGTGTGCACTATTGTGCAGCTGAAGAAATTAATGGAAATGTTAATGCATCTTATGAATGCAAATGTAATGTTGCTTTGACTGTACTGCCTCATTGTCTCTCCTCTCTGTCTGGACTTAGCTGTTTCTCCCTCTGACTCCCAGTGTAATCACATTTCGCTCCTCCATCAGAAAAGAAGAGTCACTCCCCATTTTATTGCAGGCTGAAAACTCATCTCATCAAGAAAGATGACATGTCACCAGTGGTGGATTTAGCAATTTGGGGGCCCAAGGTAAACACAGGCATGGGTCCCTCCACATATGTGGTTCTCCATCTGTTTTCAATCATTATTTATTTAAGAAAGTCCTACTTGTAACTTCTTTCCAACCCAACAAAACATATTAACACTTTAACAAATGCCCTCACAGTAAAATCTTATCTTCATGAACAATATGATCTCTGTACCATAAGAATGAACCATATTGTCCATTCAGATGGAACATCTGTCGTCTATAATCTTGGTTTTCAGCAGGATCTTGGATCAAGTTGATGATAGGCCTCTGTCTTATATCTTGTTTTAATTAAGTGAGACGATAACACACAAGGAAATAAGAGGTCAATTATGGAGTTCCAGAAATAATAACAAAATATACTTTTAAAAATTATTACCATTTCTCTGTGTCCTTGTCTTTCTCTTTCTCTCCCTTGAATGTTTTTATTTTTATGTCTTTCTCTTAAAAACACTCTAACCCTAACCCTAACCCATTTTTTTAATCATCATCGTAAAGGCCATCATGTAAAATACTAGGGGCAAGTGAAAATGCTCGCTCAGAGCGACACACACAGTGAGATCAGAGCTCGTTCATGAAGCAGCAGGTCAGAGACTTTGTTGAAGAACAGTGGAAAACACAGAGTTTCTCTGGTCACAGCTCCTCAGTGATCAGCTGCTTCAAGATCAGAGCAGAACTGTATCTGGTGACCAGGGAGGTCTCCATCCTTGAAACCAGTGTCCAACTCAGTGAGGAGCAGTGTGGACCCATCAACCAGCAGAAAGAAGACAAGTTGATGGAGCAGCTCCAACTGAGGGACGCTGAGATCTTGAGCCAAAAGGAGCAGCAGGAGGAGGAGGATCTGTCTGAGAGGCTCAGGCAGGCCACAAGTGAGCTACAGAAGGAAGAGGAGGAAAACCCTCTCAACTCGAGGACAAAAAGATAGAGCTAGAAGAGGAAAGGAGAGAAATAGAGGAGGAGGAGAAGGAACTCAGTGAGTACAAGTTACAACTCGACAAGCAAAGGAGAGAGTTGGATGAGGAGAGGAATAAAATGGAGGAGGAGGAGAGGGAACTCAATGACTATAAGGTACAATGAGAGGAGCAAAAGAAAGAGCTAGAGGAGGAGAGGAAACAAATGGAGGGGGAGAAAAAGAAGGAGAAGAAGAAGATAAGTCTTTCAAGTTGGATTAGAAAGAAATTCAGTCCTTGTGCCTCAGGCCTCATAGCTCCCTACACCTCTCCACCTTAATACCTCCCTCCTCTCCTCTCTTTCCTTCCCTTTATCACCCTCATCCCCCCTTAACCCCTCACTATCCCTACCCCTCATAACCCTCTTTCACTCTCAAAAAAAGAAAATGTATGTATGTATATAAGTGAATATTAGGTAACATTAAGAAGAGTGTATGTTCATTTTAACTGAACTTGTATGTGTCATGCATTGTCACTTCCAATGCAAAATAAACTAATTTCCTTTAAAAGATGGTCTCCCTCACATTTATACACTATGACTAGGGTTTTCTGTATTTGGATTTTGTGTAATGATCCATTCTTTCCGACATTGCCGTCTTTTGTATCTCTGCATCAGAAACTTGAAATGGAGCATTAATGACCGTTTATA